GCAATACATATGCGCAATACCGAAGAAGTATAAAACTTCTAATTTGAATAATAGTCCGTGATTTCTTTTTGCTTCACAATCGTGTTCGCGTACCCTTTTTGTAACGCTTTATGGGCCGAGCGTAAAGTGTGATAAAGTGGAATCGTTCCATTCTGGGTTCAAAATTAGGAATTTTTGAACAGTTGTGATGGCTTCTAGGGCGTCTGGAAACGAGATCCTCTCCTCTTCGGCCTCTGTTGCTGTCGCTCAGGTCGTTATAACCGATCACCACATCTGTTGGGACGCGAAAACTCCGTCGCTATGACCGATATGTCGTTATATGCGATGTCGTTATAACCGATACATAAATACATTGAATGAATGGGATTTCAGCCGGGACCGACCAGTTTACGTCGTTATGCCCGATATGTCGTTATAACCGATGTCGTTATATCCGATATCCACTGTATTAAGTTAAAAGGCACTTTCAATAATCAGTGAAGTTCTTTCTGTTTTCATCATTACTTCATTCAAAAATTTGTTAATTCTGACTTTGCCATAAAAATGGCAAAATGGAAATTACTCAGTCACTTGCGCAGTGTAAAATCAAAACCTGATTTAACATCGATAGATAGAGTGCGGAACCGCAGCTCTTTATTGCTGCTTCAAAATTTCCGTATCTTTTCTACTTTTTCGAGGAGAAACAAGCCAATTTTATAGCTCAAACTTTGTACAGAATTTCTGCTGATGAAGAAAAGAAGAAAATCGAGAAAATTTTCAAGATATTTAAGATAACTTGTGTCCCAGCGGAAGAACATAGTATGATAGGCCTATGCTCCAATTGGACTCAAATTTTGATGCGTTAATCCCCAGTATCTAACACAGTGTTTCGAGAGAATTTACGAGAAGTTCGTGGATACATGGTTTAGCCCTTTGGACATCAATATGTATCTATCTACCATTGACATACTTACCTGTAGACATATCACATAGATACTGCTGCTACCTAAGTCCACTGGATGCTGAAGTCCGTAATCTCATAGGGAAATATAAGAGAGGTATGATGGATACAGATCGTCAGAAACTTTTTTACAAAAAATTAGGTATGTATTAGTATTTCTGGGAGTAACGATTTCAAGGGATACTTGTGAAAAATGTGATACTTAAAAAAGAAAGATGGTTGCATCTTGAAGATTGTTTACCCCGTAACGTAGGTAGGTACAATGTTGCATCGACTTTCCAGTAAAATCCAGAACTTCGAGGTATGAGAAACAGATTATAGTGTCCAGGGTTTTTTTTTTGGCTTGGATCAACTCAAAATATAATTTAAAACACTTCATATAGAATGATTTTTTCCCATAAACAATAACATTTCCAAGGAAATCGATGATAGAAACCGTCTGTACCAACCTACGTCATCGACAAAATCCAAGATGCCCAAAATGCGACCACCTCCTTTTTTTTCTCTATGGCAAAATGTATTCTACAGTGTTATTTTCTCTTGGATAAAAGAGAATTCAAACAAGGAATTTAGATTTGTAGTGACCCCACTACTCTAAGCAGTATTTCGGCACAAACGAACACCCAAAAATGTTAAAAAACTGGAAGAAAGATGGTTCAAATACTAAATTTCGGGAAACGTATTTCTGAAAAGGAGCTATTCTAAGTTTTCAGCTACTATGATGGCAGTTCAAAATTTTTGGATAAAACAGTAACTCTGACAATGAGCCCTCCCTTGCATATGGATGAGCAAATTTACTTAAACTTATTTTCCAGTCAAGTTTCCATTATTTGAACCAACTTGATAAAAGTAGCCCTATTGAGAAAAGGACCTTTATTTATTTTATAAATAATTAAAAGGGATATTTAGCATATTTTGGATCGTAATCTGACATTACAGGAAAGCAGCTGTCGAAAAAAGCCTCTCTTAGAGGGAATTCGAGTATTTCGTTCTAATGTGGCCTAAACAAAACCTTGTGATGAGACAAACTCTCCACTAAAAGTTTTAGCTTAGGTTCAAAGCTCGTTTTGACAATACAGAGTTGCAAAATAAACATTTCTCTTCCATTGAAAAATAATAATATTTTGAAGCTCCTCGGCTGAAAAAAACAACTTCACTTGATTTGTTCTATTTTCTGAGGCGTAGTATTATTAGTTGATGTTACTATATCTCAGAAAATGAAAAGGAATCAACTTAATTTGTTTTTCAACCAGAACTTTAAAAGATTACAATTTTTCAGTGGTAAAAAACAAATACTCTGCAACACCATTGTGCCAAAATGAGCTTTGAGCTCAAGCAGAAACTCTCACTGATGGATTGTGTCATCGTGAGGTTTTGTAGAAGTCACATTTGAAAAAAATCATTGAGTTCCCCCAAAAAGGAGCACACCAAAGTCTTTTTTTAGAACAGGCTCTTTCCATACTAAAATATGCACAAAATAGTGTTACGCATTCTTCGACTTTGACTGTTTTGTATCCTATCTTCCACGTTTGTTTTTTTTTGCTTTGGGGCATCAATTCAACAAGTTGTCATGAATCTTGACAAAGCTCACTTACTTACACACTCACTTGCACACACACACTCTTACGCTCACTTTATTCAAAGTAAATTTTTTTTCTTCTATTTTAAGGAAATCGTATGTTAGTGGTTTAAATTATACAGCAGCCATGACGCATTGAATTCAAGATGGTTGAAACCATAGGTTGTCGCCTCATATGACGAGATAAGCGTCAGGCCAATGAGAAACGTTCTTTAACAGCTTCAATTTTAGGCATCTTTTCATCAGCCAATTCAGCAGTTTTGATCTTTAGAAAGCTCAGAATTACCAAAGAGACACCTATTATCAAAGCAACTTTAGGATCATACAACAGCCCAATTCAGGAAAATTACCGAATATGACAGGATGATTTTGCTGTAATGGAATTGTTTAGAAAAAACAATATGAAACTAATGGAAAATAGGTAACAGGCTCCTAACCTTGGAAGTGATACCTGGAGTCCTAATGGACCACTAGACAATTTAAGAGGTAAATTGGAAGGGATTTTTGAGGTGAGAGGGAATTTGTAGCAATATGAAATATATTTTTTCATCAAAATTCCACGAAAGAGACTATTTGTATAACGAAAATTACTGAGAGAAACTCCGAGCCAAGATATTAAAATTTTTTGGTGAATAAATTCAAACTTCCTGCTGATAAAAAACCATTATTTACTTCAATAAAATCGCACACTAAACGTTACAGTAATAGTCTTTGCAGTGTAAAAATATGAAAACCTCAATATCCGCGCTTCAGCTCAGCTATTGCAAGTTGTTGACACTAAGAACGACACAGGGCAGGGAAGGAAAACTGCTAGATTGAGAATTCTGCCAGAAGTTGTAGTGCAAAATTTAATTCAAGTAGACTAAGTTGTTGACACTTTGAACGACACAGGGCAGGGAAGGAAAACTGCTAAATTAAGAATTCTGCCAGAAGTTGTAGTGCAAAATTTGATTCAAGTAGACTCTAGCTTTTCATGTGAGCAGGAAATTCAATTTTTTTATAACCAATGCTTAATGGAAACAGTATTATCTTAGTTAGAAGTTAATTTTAGTGACTTTCCTTGCAGAAATCAAGTTTCACATGATATTTTGGAGAGGAGACACGTGTTGGAATGCTTGAATTTGTATCTTGTCTAGTAGTCCATCAATTTGAGTTATAAATTTGTAATCATTTTGGTGTGACATTGGGGTTCAAAAAGAATCTGAGACTGGAGTGCGAATTGTTCTCGGCCTCCGCAATTTTTCAGGAGGCTTCCACAATTTTCTGCATCGTGCTGGGTTTTCTCAAAGGGGTCAATACAACTTGCTGATCAAAGGTTTGGTAAAAATTTTGACTATCTTGTGTCAACGTCGCATTATTCCACAAGAGCTGAAAATCTGAAAGACCCTCAGACGAACAAAAAAATCTCACAATTTTTAGGGTACTTCCACAGAATTTTTGCGACAGAGCTATCAAGAAAAATTTGCACCCCTGGTCTGAAAGGATGAAGAAGCTTGCTAACTAAAATATGATACTTCATGAATATGTATTACCCTAGTAAAAATTAACAATATTGTAAAACTGATTAAATTATTGCAGACTTCGGAGATTAAGAGATACAACATAAATTAGCTTAGAAAATAATAAGATTTCATGCGTTAGGTGTGGAAAAAATCCAAGACAAAACTAAGGAGGAGCTTAAAGATTGATGTATCTATGATTGATTGAATTTTAAGCTTGCAACACTTCAAAAAATATTTGAACGGGATTATCATCCATAAAATTTATCTGTTTCCCTGTCACCTTGATATACCGTGATTCCCCAGATGAAAAAACGTAACTGCATTTCGATGTTGCCAAATATCGTTCACAAATCGTGTTCTTGTGAGGAAAGTGTTGGACGTTTCTGAATGAAAATAGTACTGACTTTTCTCCACGTCATGGGCAAAAATAAGCACAATTTTGGACGCATATTACAAAGTAATACTCATGAGAAAAATAATTATCAAAATTAACTTTGCAACCTCAGTATGAAGATACGTCACTTGGTCTAGGAAATAACAATACGTTGAATTGAAAAAATGGGGACGTTTTAAAGTTTCAAAGTAAGTTCATTGGGTACGAAACTACACAGTTCCCGAAGTGAACTTTGGAGGTAAAGTTCAACGTTTTTAATACTTAGTTTGATAAATACGGCGTTATTTCACGCAAAATCTGAAGTCTCTGAAGGCGGCAAGAATAAGCTTAATGAGTGCAACATCATCAAAAATTCTTCATCAAGTTGTTCATTGCAGCACTAAGCCAATCTGAAAATAAACAAACAAAAGTGCAATTACCAAAACGATGGCAGAAACCAGTTGTTCTTCATCTTTATAAACTATTCTCAGTAACTTATTTAAAGTCGAACTAAACCAAAAAGAGCAAGAATAAAATAGATCTAACAGTAAAGAATATAAAAAGAAAAAAAAGAAAGTATGAGCTGCTAAATGGTGAAAAAAAAGGGGAACCTTGTAATAGAATAAATTCTCTAGCTTACAAACTAGCAGCTTAAAAGCCAAGAAATTAAAAGTAGTCTGAAATCTGCCTTGAAAAAGGGACCAGGGCATTCCAACTAGTGTCAGCTTATAAATTTTTAGTTTGCAAGTGAGTTTTTTTCGCCTACTCTCGGATTATTCCCATTTTATTACTGCACTTTCAAAATTAAACTTTCTGCATGACAAGCTGCGAGTTCTAAAAAATCCTAACGTCTAGAGGTTCGAAAGTTTTGGTTGAAAGTTATTTCCTGGCTGATTTAGATTCTATACAAGCATCCTATACAGTAGAACCTTGCTATGTTGGAACCCGCTTAAGTCCGCAACCCTGCTCACTCAGTAGTCATGGCTCGGTCCCGTTTTTTCGCCCATTTACGCGATGCTAAAATGTCTGCCTACCACGGAATCAGCTAACTCAGAAAACCCTCTAACTCGTAAAAGTTTTTGGTCTCAAACTTGAAAAGGTTCCATAAAAAGTTCCACTAACTCAGAACTTTCCTTATCAGTCTCGCATCTTCATTGTTCCCATACCCATCCTCAAATTCGTTTCATCACGCTAAATGTGGGAGCTAAGTGACAGCGCCGCGCCCATCACCTCATGACATCAGCGCACCTTGTGTCCAGAGAAGTCATAAATAATTCGCTTCACTCGCACTCCTTTCGTTAGTCGGCTTCTGCGCAAGATAAGGATCGACAGAGCGAAGTGCAAACTCAAGCCGCGTTTTTCTAGGATTGGTGGTCGCTGGTCACCGCGTGCGTGTGAAGTGGGCGTGCAATTCATGTAGCTATGAATGACCACCTCATGATGAGACAATCGTGTTTGGGAGAAGTTTAACACTCGTCTTAACTTCACAGCTTCCTCGATCAATGTATTCCTCACAGTTTTAGGAGGCTTAAAAGTCAGAAGGATGACTGAAATACTACCTTCAGTTGCCTTTTTCAGCACGTAGAGCTTTTCATTTGGTGGTTTCGGAAGCAGCCATGAGCGCCCGACGGGTTGTTGCCACGTAGAGTTATTTTGTCGCGTATTCGGCATGAAATTCGAAATTGTGGAACAAAATAATACAAAGTTTAACTTGAAAACCCTGCTAAGTCGGAATGAATCCTTGGTCCCAATGCATTTCAACTTAGCAAGGTTCCACTGTAAATCTATGGCAACATTGTACATATTTGCATTTTTGTACAGTTTAAAACCCCTTTATAAATTTTTTGTAATCTTAAAAACAGAAATTTACTGACATTTTTTTTATACTGTTTTCAGTAAGAGAATTACATGAGTGCAAAATGCTAAAATACACAAAGAAAATTGGGTCTCGGTTCTTGGAAACTTCACCTGAACCTTTAAGGTATGTTTAAGCAGAAAATCCATAGCAGGTTACCTTGTTGGGCGCTATTGGTGGACATCTCCAGTTGTAAAGATAGTATTGTAGATTACCATCTCCGATTCCGAATTTGAGAGGCTCTAAGAATTCTTTATTTTCCATCAAATCTAGGGCATTGAAAACATCAAAACCATCCTGCAACAGTTAGGAATGATTCCTATTAATATTACGGTTGTCTGAACAACAACAAGCTTTTAAGAGAAAGAGTGAAAGCTTCGTGAATAGAAATAATAGTAATAAGATTGTAACGTTTTGAAAAATAACAACTTAAAAAATTTGAATTTCCCTTTTACAAGAATAACAAGTCTACACAACTCAAATTGCTCACTACAACAGTTTTGGTAAGCTTCTTAATCCAGCAATGTTTCTTCCTCGTCCTAGCTTTTTGCAAGTGTACAGAATAATTAATAATTAAACCAAAGCTTTGAGCTTGAGATTGCCATATTTTCATACCCCAGAAACTGTTACAGTAACGCTTGGTGTGCGATTTGGCTAGTTTTTTTCATAAATGAGAAGTTTGACTTTGTGCATGGAAAAATGTTAACATTTTGAATTGGAGTTAATCTCAATAATTTTTCTAAGTGTATCGTGCTCTCTGTGAATTTTTAATGAGAGAACATGCATCATAATACTTGACTTAGCAGCTTGTCTGATGGTTCTAATTGCAAAAAAAAAATACAAATTTCACTACGGTTCTACAAAAAACACGAAAATTTTGTAGTGATTTTCGAAGAAACATAGGATTTACATAGCACTGCTGCACACAGGCCTTCTAAATTTGTTCAGCCTTCCCATTTTTTCATGAGAGCAACCATGAGCAATTATGATTGCACGATTGGAAAGTTTCTACCCGCCTGTACTGTGGTAGCAAAATATAAAATTTCTAGTTTTAGCCCTGGTTCTGATATATCATGAGATTCATCCTGCAGATAAATAAAAAAGATGGCGATACTTAAAATACGACAAAAAAGATGAAGGACTTACATTTTTGGCAGCGATCAATGCATCTTGCATCAGATCAATCCAATTTGTTTTGTTAGAAACATTATAAAATGAGTAGGCAGCTTTAAGCGTACGGTGAACTGGATGGTGCATGACAGTTGAAGGCAGCGTGTAGAAACTAACCATGTCTGAAGAGGAAAAAAAGAAGGCAAAATGAAAATTATTTGTACAATGGCAAAGAGCCCTTTCCTTATGTGCCCTCAGAGATAATAGAAAGCAAGATTATCATGCTCTATTTGTAGGTTTTATTTGGTTTAAATTGTTGAAAGAAGAAAAGAGAAAGTAGTAGAAGAAGAAGAAAAGAGAGAAAAGTGCAAGAAGAAGGCGAAGAGAAGAAGAAAATAGAAAAGTACAAGAAGAAAAAGTAGAAAAAAATAGGAGAAAAGGAAGAAGAAAAAACAAAAGCGAAAGAAATATGAGAAGAAAAGAGAGAGAAGTGCAAGAAGAAGAAAAGAGAAAGAAACATGAGAAGAAAAGGGAAAGATGTACAAGTAGAAGAGACGAGAGGAAAAAGAATAGAGAGAGATGAAAATGAACAGAGGAACAAAAGGAACAAGAGATTGACATGAATGATCAGGAAAACAGAGAGTCATTATCTGCTCAATAAAAATTGAAACAAACCATTTCGTTTTTATTTTCCTTTCAAATTATGTCCATCATAAATAACCATTAATATAAGAATAGAAGGATTCCACCTTTTTCTATTTCACCCGAGGGGTTGCCAGATTGTGCGATAACTGTGAATATTTTACAAGGGTTTGAACAGGGGAAAGTGCTGAAAAAGCAACTTATCTGGCAACAGTAGAGTATGGGAGGTACGAGAGACTGCCTTCCTGGGAAAACCCATGATTTAGTCAGAAATGTCATTAAAACAAATTGGTTCCATTTGAAGCATCAAATGTATACTAGGGAAAGCTATTTTAAAATAAGAATTGTAAATGGACACAGATGCCACAAAAAAGGAAAAAATAAAGAGGAGAGAAAATGAAATGAGGACATAATTACTTCTCCAATCAGAGAGAATAAAACAAAAACATCAGAGATATTTATATAGAATGAAAGTATAAGAAAAAAACACAAGTAGACTCATAGCAATTTGGAAATTGAACTATACTATCGTTGAGCAGTTTTTAGACCCCTACGCCACTGATAAACTTCTTAGTCATATCCATGACGGCGTTTTAATGCTGTCTTGGATTTTGCAGCATGTTAAGTTGGGTTCACTGCCAAGTGTGATCTGCTAATTAGGTATAAAAAGGCCCAAACCGGTATAGATCTCACGGCTTGACTCCAACTTAATATTCCGATGCAAACTGCCTGAGCTGAACACTCTCCCCCTCAGTTTTGTACTGGTACGCATTAGAGTTCAAAAAATTTAATTTTGACTCTAATTTTAATTTTTGGAATTTTTTGGCTTTGTTTTCCCTGCGAAAAGGTGTGCACCCAGCACCATTTCTCCACCTTGTTACATACAGTTCAGACCACTTCTTAGTGTTTTTTTCACTTCTTAGGAAGTAAAGATGAACTTTTGCTACTTCAGCAAGTCAAATCGTGGAAATAGATCCATGGTTGTCACTTCCCTGCACCCGATGGGACATGTAAGTTTTTTAAGAAATGCTCGATCCCCACGATTGCTTCATCTTCACATGTTTATTAAAGTGCATATGATGGCAGGCTCCAGGAACAAGGTTCTGTGACAAAATCATTTTTGTCTTGAGAGTCTCCAAAATGTATACATCATATGATCAAATGTCCAACTACTAAGAAAAATGACTCGCGGAACAGGCGAAGCACGTCTAGAACGGCTAGTATAATATAGTATGTATCATACTAGATCATTGCCCTGGTAAATTACTCAATGAATGGAACGATCAATTATTAAAGTCACATTTAATTGAGAGGTTACTTCGGTCATGGGCTTTCCACTAGATTATTCAGATCAAAGTTTAGGACAGCTCTGATATCCACTTGTCCCAGAAAGACTTGCCTTCCATGCAAAAAAAAACAAAAGAAAAATCCACGAGAGAGGACGATCTAAATCTGAAATTTGGTACCTGTTATTTCTCCATCTGTCTCTACAATGTAGGCATCCACAATTCCAGGCTGAGGTAAGAACCAATGCTTGAATTCTTCCTCTGAGAAAACAGGTATTAGGTCAAACTTCTTTAGATACTGAAACATGACACAACAAAAAAATGGATTTACACGAATGATACTTTGAAAAACAAACAAGAAAAAAACGTGTAGAAATGAAGATAAAAAAAATTGAAAATGTTGCTCATTGGATGTATGTACCTAATAGATCGATCACAGGATAAGGGATTTCAAATCTTAGCGAAGAAATTGTCAGTAGAACAATTTTTGAGTTGGTTTAATCGATCAGAGTTTCAGTTACTGACAGGAACAACCCACTTTCCCAAACAATAGATTTTCATCAGTTTACTTAATTTTTGAGCTGATAAAGGGCATAAAATTGCATTATAATCGCGAAATTTCATTACCTGAATGTGGCAGATCAGAACTTTAACATATTCTTGTAATTCAGCATTATTGCATTTATTAAATTTGACTTAACAAGAATAGCCTAGATGCATGGAATAGCTTATTACAAACTTTTTATAAATTTACTTACAGATGCATTTTGTTATAAGCACCATCTTCAGGGTAGCAAATTATAAAGACAAAGAATATTAACAGAACACACTGAACGACCAGTTTCTAATTTGTTACCCTGAAGATGACACTCATGCCAAAATGCATTGGTATGTAAATTGATAAAAAGTTTGTAATAAACTATTTCATGCATTTAAGTACGCTATTCTTGTTAAGTCAACTTTAAAAGTTCCTTTTTTCAAAATAAGGTGCCTTTTCTGAACTACAAGCTTCAAACTACTATACCTTGAGTTTTGTTTGACACCTTCGGATTTTTTCGTAGCAAAATGTTCGAAAAAAAATTTCACTAAGCTTTGGTCTCAATAACTTAATTTTGAGCTTTAGATGACACTGGTCCCTTGACATTGATTACAAATAAGAAAATGAAAATAAAAAGGGCTCACCTCAGCTAACAATTTTTGACAGTTCGGTAAGTCTTTAAGAGTTAACTTTCGAAAACCTGGTGTTTTGGGAGCTTCAGGCAGTTTGTACAATTTTAAAGTTCTTTGCATTGTCATGTGTCTACTTAGGTGAGAAAATTTAACTTCTATTAGTTTCTTCGGATTCAAGGAACGATGCCAATACCTGAAACAGATCAGGAACTATGAAAACTCTAAGCCTTCTAGCAAGACTTATTAGACTGTTGTTTAACTTTTCTTAATAATATTAGAGATACTATATGATAACTTACTTTTTTCAATAATGATACCCTTAAGAACAATTTGAAGATATCCAATTCCTATTAAGTATCATTTTTGAAAATTTTCAGGTATAATTCGATGACTTCTACCAGAATCAAGAAATTTACATCAGACGTTTCCTAAGTTTTCCTGATAATTTACTTTTAGAAGAGAGAACAAAGCAGCACTGGAATTTGAAACTTCGTGGATACATTTATTCTTCTTAGTCTACAATAAATTCACAGAAATGTTAAAGGCATTAAGTTGTTTAGTTCTCTGTTAGAAAAATCAAACAAGAGCAAAACTTTGGTAACATCAAATGTAATTTCCCGGTAACTCTCGTAGAATCCCTCTGAATGCAAGCATCGTACTTTGAGAAACGTATAAAAAAATTAACTTATATAAGAAAAAACATTTCGAGTAGTTGGATCCAAATAAGTTTGAGTAACTTATCTTGAGTGTATCATCAACAGTGTAAGCAAGACCAACCCAGATTGGTATTAATTGAATGCATCAGATAACACCTCAAAATTCTTAGCAATTCGGTCATGTTCCGTATCTATGTTAGCTACAGAAAACTCAGTACGCATGCAAAAAAAGTTGTTGTTTTATCTTTGGCAGAATTTTGTCCTCCTACACAATGATTTTTGGCACAGTACAGTCACATTTTCCTCTTATAAAATATACACAATTACTCAATGCCAGCAAAATAGAACTGCATTTCTGTAACACTCATTAAATCCTCTTTTAAGGTGAGTCTTAAGCGTTAGTTCCAAAAAAGCCACCATGTCACACTGCTAAAATCTGGCTCCAAAATCAAAGATTATTTTAATAACACACCAAATATAATTGATTCTAAGACTCACACGTTCTAGCAGTATATGTCTAGAATATTTAAAACTGAAGACAAGCTTTGAAAGTTCCATAGTAAAGGCTAAAACTTGATCCCAGTTTCTTTAATAGGATGCCTGTAAGTGCAAGAGAGTTAGTTCACAGTGAGAGAGAGATATCTATAGCTTCTGAGAGAGATTACTTGTCATTGGCCACATCCAGGTCATTTTACTTAACCCTACTTTATTCTGGGATCAAGTTACAGAGCTTCAGAAATTTCAAATTACTTTTAAAGTCCTTTTCAATGTCAATAAGAAGAAGAGTGTTACAGCTACAACTTTAGACTTATCGATTTTAACAGAAATTCCTTTAATTTTTTGTGATAGCTCAAAGACTCTTGTAGTGCTATATGGAATCTAATAGCATAAATGGAAAATCAGAACACAGCGGTGGTGCCCTGTGCTTGGAAAAAATTCTCACTACGAACCACTGAAGATTCAGCTTAATAACTACTTGGATACTGCAAAGAGAAGTCATTAATTACAACTTTGTACGATCTTATGAGGTTGTAGTTTTAAATTAGTGTACAGCAATTTAAATTTGTGTAAATTTTGCATCCTTCACCTGCATGTTCCCACTGGTTTTGGTAAAACTACTCCAGCAGTATAAACAGCTTGAAAAATACCAGCCAAGTTCACTCTTCTTGTAATTTCTCTGATCAAAACAGGAGCAACCCTTTTGCTGCGAAGTTTTTTGTGAACACAGAGAAAATTGATTTCAACCATTTTTTGTGGTCTGGAAAAAAGTAAAAAATGATAAATAACAAGAATACTGGTAAGTAACACAACTTCCAAAAACTCATATGACATGAAAAAATTCAAAACTGAAATTGAGAGTTTGTGATTTTACAACTTCGATGAAAACTTCATAGGTACTTTCATGTAATGAGAACAACTAAAAAAAAAAAAATAATAAAATACTGATTCAGAAATCAAACTATCTTTGACTTTTATTTTTCACCTGATGCTGTCATTAATGTTTTCTTAATACTTTGCTCCAGTTTGTCAACTCCCAGTCCGCTGAAATAGTTCGCAATTTACAATCGAACTTCATTGTGCAATTAGAAACTACAATTTCTGACTCGTCCCATTGGTGAAAGCATTCATCTATAGGGGGAAACTGAAGTCACATACGCCATTTCTTAAGAGAGCCGGCAATAGAAGTTCCTAATTGCAAAATGTGGTCCAATGGACCATTAGACAAGGTACGAATTTAAGCAATCTAATACATGTTTCTTCACCAGAATTTCACGTAGAAGACGATTAGCGCAACAAATATTACTGAAACTAACTCCTAATGAAGATATTAATGTTTTTATTTCACATTGGTTACGAGGAATTTGAACTGCCCGCTCACAAGAAACTCAAAGCTCTAAGTGAGTCAAATCGTGCACTACAACAGTTTCAGCAAGCTTCTCGATCAAAAAATGTTGATTTGCCACCATGTGTTGTTCACACTATAAGCAATTTGCTATAGCAGAGCCAAAGCGTCAAAATTGAGGCTGCCAGATTTTTAAATGGCAGATACTGTCATGATAACGTTTGGTGCGCGATGTGAACCATGTAGAGCATTGAGTTTTCATGAGCGGGTGTTTTGAATTTACGCATTAAGAATCATTAAATATCTTCGTAAAGAGTTAATATCCGTAATTTTCGTTGTGCGCATCATTTTCTACGAGAAATTTTTGTTCAGAAGCATGTATCAGAATGCTGAAATCCGTACCTTGTCTAGTGGTCCATTGAGTGTTCACCTGGTCAATGAAAGTGCGTACACAAGAGCTGCTTTCAGAGCGTTCTCTAGCATTCAGCAAGACTTGACTGCCACAGTCTCTTCTCTTCCTAAAACTCTTTCAGGAGAGAGTACTCTTTTAATTATTTTTCCACCCACCATCGCAACCCTTCCACTGTAGACTCTTTTTGATTCCTCCTACAAGGAAACCGATTAGGTGTTGAAGTAAAGAGGTTAAGTAGTATGCTGCGATCTACGAGGAAATTCCAATATTATCTGATCTTTGGTTAATTTTTCTTCACCTGAGCTTGCAGGCGGCATAATTTGGCCAGCTTTGTTTTGAGCCTGAGAGACAACTCCCAGCCGTAAGACTTACTTTGCCAGCTGCATTTGAATGTTTAAATGCAAATGCAAGAAGGAGGACCACCACAAAAAAAAAAAGATCAATGCAAAGAGTTAGAAAAAGACAAACAAAATTGTGGAAAAAATTTCGCACATCTGTACTAACAAAATTCAAGTATTTGCAAGGTCAAAGAGAAATTAGCATTATCTGAGAAATGAAAGTCGAGACAACACTTTTAAACCTTGCGGAATAATCAGTTTACAGAATTCTGGTCAACTGGTGTAAAAGGGCTCATGTCAGATAAGTTGACTTTTGTATACTTTCGACTGTCATACGAAAAAAACAATTTTAGGGTTCGGGTAGCTGAGCACAATGGCAACACAGCTACATCATGGCTATCGGTCAATCCTTGATTGCTATTGAATAAGAACATGGTAGTCCATTGTAAATGGAAAGTAAACAACAGTCAACTAAACTGCAAGTTCTTAAAAAAACTTCATCCTCTAATTCTAGACAAAGCAGTCAACTATGTTACATGCTTACATTCAGTTTTTGAGCTAAATTTTCTTTCAGAAGTCTCAGCTCTGTATTGAAATCAGTTTTTGTTATAGAGAAACTTTAATCTTGATAAGTTCTGTTGATTCGGCAACATAGCAAAGTAAGAGAAGTTTGAAAAACAACAGAAAAATTTAACTTACACATCATAGACACTTAGAGTTGCAGGAATGGCACTAATGAAACCGACCAAACGTTTACTCTTCGTGACCCGAACTCCACAATGCCAGTCTTGTCGCCAACCAGGAGGCTGGAGAGCCCTAAGAGAATTGAAAAGACCAGTTAAAGAAGTGTGATAGCTGTTTACTTGAAGGTCTCGTAAAAGACTGTCCACAAAAAAAGTGCACTTTGGCGATTCAACTTTCTACTGAATTTAATTGTGGTAGGTCAGTAGCAAAACGTTTCTGCAGAGTGTCTGACCGATGTGCCTGACGTAAGATTATAGGAAAGAACCAAAACGTCCCTTAAAAGTTTAAAAACACTCTTTTAAACTGAGAAAAACCAGATGAAAATCTGACCTACCAGAGGCTGACAGTTGTGACGAGGTAACTGGGCCATGTCTTCAGCTAGGCTTCAGCCAATTAGCGAAGGTAGACATCCTTCTTTATTTACGCTATTACAGGCCACCAATAATATTGTTTCAAATAGGTCCAGATTATTGCGACTTCATAATCGATTTTCTCCGTCATTTTGAGTGAAAGAAAACCCGAAACAATTACAAGACGCTCGACTCATTCAGCACTTCATGAAAATTTATTTTTAAAAAAATGAGCGCCACTGATCCATTATCCTGAAAAATATTTCTCATAGGTTCTTAATCTCTCACTTCAGATCACTCTTTTTGTAAATCAGCACAATGGTTTTAGTATGCTTTGGCCTTTGGTTTAGAGCCACTGGATTCCTAACAAAGGCCTTTACCTTAAACAATTCAATCTGAAGACTTTCGTTCAATTTCAAGTTAGCTTTGAAAATTTTGGAAGATTTTATATCATTAGGTAATGCATTGGGTCTAGGTGTCTAATAATTCTGAAGGCAATAAAAACTAACACATCACAAGGGCAATGGAATTAACAAACCATTTCAAAAACTGCGATGGATAGTCAAATCGAAACATTGAGTCATCGTCCTCCACATAATTTTCATTCAGTAAAGTGTACAATTCTGCCAGCACTAATGGATCCTCTAGATTGAGTGTGTCCCACTGAAAACCGTCTGGTAACCCATACGGTTCCTGTCGAATATCTTCGTCCGTCTTATTGGCTTCTATCGGTTCATTGACAGTTATCTTCTCATCTATTTTTGGAACTGGCTGAGTGTTCCAAAAATGGAATTGTTTTTGCATTGCTTCTTCTGTAGTTTTGGCAGGTCTTTGTTGAAGGGAAATGGCTTCCATTGCTTTCCGGAGGTCCTGGAAAAATACAAAAAAAAATGTAATAAAGAATTTTTATATTCTTCTTGCCTCCTAATGCATTTCATTTTAATTCCTTCGCATATTCTATGCTGCCTGCATATTCTTGTAAATTTATATTCTTACTTCTTATAATTTTCTGTCTTCATAGTTGTTATTCTTCTCATAATGCTGTATGGATTTTTCCTGATTTGCCTTGGTTCGCTATCACTTTTTTTTTGTCTTATCGTGTAATTTCATTAAGTGGTTATGGAAATAAGGATGAGTTGGCCTTATTAGCTTGTCACTATTTTATATACTTAACTTTGTCTGGTTACTGGGATTTTCTGAATAAATACATAAATAAATGAAAAAGAAGTTGAACTTTCTGGTCCGAACACTATGCCATGATCAAAATTCCTTAACCTATCAGATTGTATATCATCAATTTTAACACAGCAAGGCAAAATAGACCACAAGACGGAAGCATCAAATCCTTCAGTACCTACGAAGAAAGGAAACAAGTCTGGAGTCCAAAATATCAATTTTCAGTTTTCAATGCTAAATCACTTCCTGATTCTCTCACAAACATTGAGTCTTATGTTTAAAACTCTTTTAAAAAATAAAAATGACGTTATAACATTTCAACTAAATTATTTTGAGGGGTGAGAACTGTATCGGTAAACTTTATCAGCGTTTATTTCAAATCCTCCAATTTTTGTCCTCAAACTCTAAATTGTTGCCAATTTGTTAATTTCTGGGTTGTGTTAATGATGCAGAACCTATGCTAGGGTAAAGACATTTTTTAATCTTTTCTTTTTTTCCCCCACCTTAAATAAAATTTGGCCTGACTCTGTCAAAACTGGTGATCAGGAGCAAACCTATCAGAAAAATTTGCTTTTACAGACACTGTAACTGCTGTGAGAGAAAGCAGCTGAGAAGAGTAATCTTACTCAAGACAGGGTAGAGTACCTATATATGGGAGAGTATTGCCATCTCTGTGCCGCTCTCTGATTGGTTCATCAGTTGTAGGCTATCGTGGAGCTCCCAAGTTGGCCCAATGTAAATAAACCAGACCTGCTGGAACACGTGTCATCGGCTGAGAAATGAATGATAATCACACTCAAAGGTTGATTTTCCGTAAAAATGTCCATGAAAGTTCCATCCGAACTCAGAAGTTGGATGTAAAAAATGTCTATCACATCCAAAATCACGTCTAGAACTTTGTCACCATCTTGTTTATTTACATCATGCCAAACTAGGAGCGGAGGGGCTGCTGTTTGTTTACATTGGGCCAACTATGGGGTCCATGATAGCCGACCAATCAGAGAGCAGCACACTTTTTCTGTAGTAATAGGATTAAAGTGAATCCAGGCTTGGAACTTCGCGATTTGGCCACAACGTCGTGTTGCTCAGAATAGCCGTACATATTTGCCAAAATAATAAAAACCGCAATACATATTAAAGATTGGGGATCCAGGGGATATAGCAACATACTTAAGGAACACTCAGTAAAAAAATCTTCTTAAATTTCCCATAAATTAAGTTGTAACTACAGCGGAAAGTAATTCCCATTGCGGCAATGGGAGAGAGAGAGACAGAACATGAAGGATTCGGTTGCGCGCTCGGCCGCCGCCAATGAGCTGAAAGTTTCAGCCGTACTTTCTCTGCGCTTGTAATTTTAATTTCCACATTTTTGGCTCAAAAAATCAAGCAAAAAATAATCTGTATCTTGTGGATCTGCTTTTTGTAATTTGAACAATATTATTTCAGTAATCGTCAAAAGAAAGTGAAATTTTCAATGGTGACTGGTGGCACTATCTCTAATCTTGAATTATCCTTAATCGAACCCTGGATTCACCTTAAGATGGCAATACTCTCCTGTATACAGATACACTAAGACAGGGTGCATCCATGAAATTCTCTAGTAGATCCAGAGATATTGATAGAAAACCTAACCAAACTTAATATCAATATATTTTTTCTAACTGATCTGAGGCAATTGCATTCGATAATGGATTTTCACCAGAGGAATCAACGAGCAACAAAGGAAAACTCTGACACTGACTATGTTTGGGAGTTTGGACTCTAAATCTGGATCAAAAAAAGGAGGCTGCCTAAGAAATAGCAATTATTTCTTCAATATAAATAATACCAAAACTAAGCATTTATCATACCCGAAAAGAAATGTTACGTGTCGTAACCTCGCTTCCATCGCCTGAAGCTTCTTCTTCGTTTGTCTCAGTCTTCTTCCGTCTGTTCCGCTTCTTAGTATTGTTACTATCTTTACTGGTATTACTGAAAAAAAACACAACGCTAGATTGATTGTTTTCACAAACAAATTGATCAAATAAGGGATGAATAGAGGAATCCTGTTGTCAGATAAGTACCTAATAATTTTGGACCTACTAATTTTGGTGGATGGTAGGCAATGCACTTTAAGTTACCAAGGTCAGACATCACAAACAGCAAAAGGTCAAAAAATGTTAATAAAATGAGAAACTTGAGGGGGAAAAACTTTTGGAGAAAAGCCGACTCAGGCACATTTTTAGGTTACGTTTGCGACTGTCAGGCTTACAGTAATTATTGCGATTTGTGCATATCGGAGAGAGTAGCAGATAGAGGAAAAAGCTCTTTAAGTTTCATCTCTGGGATTCAATTATGCAAAGAGTAGGTACAGTGAGTGTTCTGATAAAGTATAATAGTTAGCTCCGGAGTGGTTACAGCGGAATCTATGAGGACATGTGGTCGAGTTATCCATCTCTTAACGTAAAAGCTAGTGCTAATAGAAATACACACATCACTCCTGAACATAGACAAAACCTCCATGAGGTAGATAAAAGGAACGCCTAGACTCATTTCATGAGTATGTTCCATTAGGCCTTGAATAAGAATTACCTTTGCTGCATTGTGGGGAGGTAAATAAACCTGTCCTCAGTAGAAGAGGAAATTTATTTCCAACTTGCTGAGTATTTTCCACTGACGAGGGTATAAAAATTCTTGAGGTATTTAATATAGTATCTGATGGTATCATTCACTTCCCGCAAACCGGTTAGAATTTAGATAATTAGAGATTACACATGACAAGGGTTGATTGAATTGCACTGTGCCGATTCTGTGCTGTGCCGACTGTAGGGAAAGGGAAGGGGGGACGGGGGAGTATGCATGGACATGGGGGAGGTAGGGAGTGGATGTTTACTTTTTGCAGGCAAAGACCCCCTCGGAATGAGCAGGCAAGATGGCTGCGTGGCGCGACGGGAACTCGGGAACTCAGAGCAGTTCGAGCACTCTCTAACCAATACCTACTCTAACCCATCCTATCGTCTGCCGTCTCCCCACCTTATCCATCCACATAATCATGTTTCCAATAAGTAATGTAAAATGAATCAGTGAGTTCGGAAACACTCCAACTTGGGGTTTTTTTCGATTTTCACTTTTTTACGGTTTAGTAACACTTATGGATAAGTAGAAGCATCTGCACGCAAAAGGATATTTCGAAATTGCAATCGGAAGTGCTCGAAACGGCGACGGGAAAAGGGAAGAATCGAAGAATTTCATTGGAAATACCAATTTTTGGCCGATCAAGGGAAACGGGCGACTTATCCGATGCGGTTTTATTTTTTCGGTTCAGTATACCTTGTGCCAACAAGTTATATAAATATTCAAGCGTTA